CAATGGTCAGAATATATGCGGTGTGTATGTAAGTTATGGATCAGAATCACAAAGCAAAACCATCTGACTATACCATACATTTTAAGTCACTAAGAACTGTATTCTGTTTGCCTCTGCAGTTTAAGTCACTAAAGATATTATTAAATACGTACTGTACGTACGCAAGGTACTGTGTTGGGTGTTGCTGGAATTCTGAGACTGTTGCGGTGCTTGTCGTTTCTAGCATCTCTTGATGTGAGCTGAAGGAGAGTTGGCACCAAAGTCGGAGCTCAGTTTTCGATAAAGGATTAAGAAAGAACTTATTGAGCACAGAGCACTTTATAAAGGCTTTTATTGGCGAGCCGGTTGCTGCTTGTTGTCTCCCAGCCAGGCTCAGCATTATTTCCTCTTTCTTAGCCAACTGCATGTCGCTGGATCCGGCATCTCTGCATCCGAACTAAGCGCTGCTTAGGTGTGGGACATATTTAATCAGGAAAAGAAAGTGTGTGTGTCTTCACCTTTGGAAGGATTGACGGTGCCTTTTTTTATTTTTTTGGTATTTTGTCTTTGCTGCAGCAGTATACAAATTCTTCAGACTTCATGAGCATAAATAGTTTGCCTTCAGCTTTCCTAAGTTTGGAATCTACTTCTTAACCTTATTTCTTAAAATTTGTAAAAATCTTCTAACACTTAGAAGTCTTAGAGTCAGTTGTATTCATTTAGTCAAGTAGCCATTACTATGTATAGAGAACCTCCTGTGTAGAATCAGGAGCCCTGGTGGTGCAGTGGTTAAGAGCTATGGCTGCTAACCAAAAGGATAGCGGTTTGAATCCACCCACCACTCCTCGGAAGTCTTTTGGGGCACTTATGCTCTGTCCTATAGGGTCACTATGAGTTGGAATTAACCCGACAGCATTGGGTTTGGTTTTTTTGTTTGTTTGGTGGCACAGTGGGTAAAGTGATCGACTGCTAACCAAAAGGTCAGTGGTTCGAAACCACCAGCGGCTCCACAGGAGAAAGATGTGGCAGTCTGCTTCTGTAGAGAGTTACAGCCTTGGAAACCCTATGGGGTTGCTATGAGTTGGAATCGATTCAGTGGAAGTGCTTTTGGTTTTGTTGTGCGGAATAGTATTGGTCTTTAAAGCCTTAATGAAAAATCTTCATTTTTTTGTCTGTGTTTAGAATGGTACCAAACCCCCACTGGATGCAGATGTAAATTTGGAAGCAATTGCTGGTGACCTCCGCTGTGATTGCTATACGTAAGTATGTAAATTTCAAGTCAGTTAACTCTGTGAGGCTGTTTCTTCATCTGTAAAATAAGGGGAAATGGTGCCCACCTCACCAGGTTCTGAGAGGGTTAAATGAAGTTTCACACAAAGCACCTAATACAGTGTCTAACTCTTCCATGCTGCTGCTTTCCTAGAGAAGGCAGTAGCCATTTTGAGCCTCTGAAGGAATTTCTGGGAATAGAGGAATTCTTTCATAAGGCCCTTGGTACTCAGCTGCCCTAACCACCATTGCTGCCCTTCACAGATTCTATCTGTTCTGATGGAATATATGAGCAGATGTTTCACTCCTAGCTGCCACACTAACCAGGTTCTTCAGCACTTAACAGAATAATCTGCCTGATCTGCGTTTGCCAAGGCTCACATTGCATTTTCCACAGCACACTTGGTAACATCCACACAGCCTCCGGTAAATGCAGAAAGTAAGGCATTTCTGCCTTTGACTTTCATATTTATGCTTGTTGTTGTTTTGGTTTTTTCTTCATATGTTTTTAAGTAAAGTTGTTAACTTTCCCAATTTGGGACACAAGGGAAGAAAATGAAACTAAAGTTTAACGGAGACATCTCCCCCTCGAGCTTGTTTTATAAGCCGTGTTGATTGTGCACGATATGCTTCTCACAGTATTCCCCTAGGGCAAGTCCAGATAATGTGGAACTTCCCAAAGCCAAGTAGGCGAGTGTTTTCAAAATCTTTGAGGTCTTCAGAAGTCTGTTATTCACCAGTGTAAGTTTATATCCAAAGAAGATCCCCACCGGCCGTAATCCAGGCACACTGAGTTATTTCCAGAAGCACCCGCATCCATAATCATGGGTGACTTCGAGGCAGTGATTCTCAAGAAGGGGAAGTAATTGGAGACCCAGACTGGGTGGTGAGTGGCTGCCTGAAAGCCCCTGCCTCACTTTGAGGAGGATTCGCATCTTCCCCTGGGTGGGAATCCAGCCTTCTTAGTTAAATTGTCTCACTACTGGAGGAAGAGAAAAAAGACAAGAGCAAGTCATTTGCACCTTTGGGTGCTAAAATCCAAAGAAAAGATTTTCAGTGAGTAGCAGAGGCAGTTTTGATGACAGAATTTACCCAGAGCTAAATCTTTCGGATTATACCAAGTAGGGTGTCAGCCTATAAAGGGATTAGGGTTAAAGTGGAATGGTTACATTTTAATGCCACTATCATCACAGTTTGGAGCCCTGGTGGTACAGTGGTTAAGAGCTCTGCTGCTAACCAAAATTCAGCAGTTCGAATCCACCAGCTACTCCTTGGAAACCCCTTGGGGCAGTCCTGCTCTGTCCTAGAGGATCGCTGTGAGTCGGAATCACTCGACGTCAACGGGTGCTTGGTCCTGACAGTTAAGAGAGAATGTACTAACTAGCATAGTCTTCAGCTGCTCGTTTACATTAGTTTATGTTATCTCTGCACCAGTGTTAGGTTTAACGTTAAGAAATTAATACCCCAGCGTGTATGTTAGCATTTAATAATTTTATACTTCTAGCACTTAACCAAAAGAAGCGTGGATTCAGTTAATAATTTAATCTCTGTGGGTCTTTAATTTTATGTATTATGTGGATTATCAGCCTTAAATAATGTCTAGAAATGAGGTTTTTATCCCCAAATTTAAGCTTTTTCTCAGAGTCTTTAAGAATCCTCTTAAAGCTGTCATGCAGTGAAACCCCAGCCAGCACCGGTGTCTTTCATTGACCTCGGAGCTGTGCTGACTCAGCATACTAATATGTGAATAATTAAATAAATGAAGACTTGTAAGTTCTTGTTATGTTTTTAAGTAAGTTATAATGTGTCCACTCAGCTTGAGCTTGAATCAAGTTCATCAAAGACTTCCTAGCCTTTGTACTTTCCCGTTTTGAATTCGGAGCCATAAATGACTTTTTATATAAGCTTATTTTAGACTCTAGGTAATATATGTCAAGAGCTTAGCTGCTAACCAAAAGGTCGGCAGTTTGACTCCACAGCTGCTCCTTGGAAACCCTATGGGGGCAGTTCTGCTCTGTCCTATAGGTTGCTCGATGGCAGCGGGTTTGGTTTGTTTGTTTATGTAATATGTGAATGTGCCAGTCAGCACTTCAGCATAGCCCTGGTGAATGGAAATATTCTAATAAACTTTTAAAATTTTTGAAGTTTAAAGATAATTTTTAGAAGTTTCTCTCTACTCACTGGATGTTTTAGACTTCTTTACATTAACGTGAATGCGGTGAAACCCGTGAGCTGGATCTCAGCGCTACTGCCTCGTTTCTCTGGTTCGTACAGGCTTTCTGCCTTTGACAGGGGACACTTGTCTGTCGCCCGTTTTAGTGGAAAATCTTTGAGTTTCCCTTCTTTGACGGCGTTCACAGGTTTTACTGTATCGGTAGCTAATGAGATAGAGTATTTATGATTCATTGCATTGTTTCCTCCACCATTTCTCTTCTCCTACGGTTAGGTTAACTATTGTGAGAGCAAAAAACGCTTTCTCATTGTTCATAATCAGTTTATCCCACCTTTATTGGTCAGTTTGTTTTCTTAATTTGTTAATATGATTTAATAGAAAATTGCTGTCAGACTTCTTCCTGTTGTCTGTTCTTTTGCCATGTCTACGAATAAATAAGAACACGTCTCTCTTTGTAGGGGCGCAGATCTCTCGGCGTTGGTGCGGGAAGCTTCTCTCTGTGCCCTGAGACAGGAAATGGCAAGACAGAAGAATGGAAATGAAAAAGGTATGATTCTCCCAGGATCTCGCGATTCTCATGATCGGTCTGGATGCATAAACCCCCACTAACCTGGCAAATAACTATAGCATCATTTTCTAACATCTGTTATCTGTGATAGTAAGGCTTGGTTTTTCTGATGAGACCATTAGAAACTGGTCTGGAATTCTGTGCAGCCTTTGTGGCTGACAACTGTACAAATAGCAAAGCTCTTTAGCGCCTCTCGAACAGAGAGTTTTATGTCTTTCTTTGTCTTCACAGCCAATGATTAGATTTAAGCACAGTCTTCATCATGAGTTTGGTCTGCCATTTCAGGAAGACCTTCTCAGTCTTTTGCTAAGGTGATATCTGCTTGCCTGTGAAAGTGCAGTTTAAATTGGAGAGCTTAGAAAACACACACACACACACACACGAGTGAAAACTGGAATAACTTTCCATATATTGAGACTTTCCTTTCAGAATACAAAATCCATGTAATTTATTATGTGACAATCTGGGGTCATCTCGACAGCTTTGCACCATCCTTCACATTTGACAGTGTTTTTGCTTTCACTGTTTGGGTATGTGTAGACAAAAAAGATTCATTTGTGACCTACATCCAACCATGCTAACTACAGAAACAGCTTTTCCTTTGCTTGGTTTCTGTGACAGTTGTTGGATCAGTTGCAGTTTATGGCTGTCTCTTTTGCTTTATAGCCGTGTAGAATACCTTTCTTCAGAAAGATTCACTCTGTCCTCTAAATCTGTACTTTAATCTAAAGTTCAGGTTCTACATTGGTCTCCTTTTGTTCAATAAACTCTCAAGAGATAGCTTTTAAAATTTGTATTGATTTTCCATTTTTTCTCTTCCCTTTTTTCTTTACTACCAAGAATCTTAGAGCTAAATTTTGTTTCTAGTTACAGCAGCTATTCTTAGATTCGTCAGCACACTTGTCTTCATAATGAAATCCCTGGTTTTTTGTTGTTAATTTTAAAGTTCAATTAACTGAACTTTTATTTTAAGCCACTTTAAATTCTTTTTGGGAATAGGTGGGGATATCAGTAAACAGAATTAGAGCATCTCATAAAAAACATTATGTGGTAGAGTGCTGCCTGGGAGCTGAATCTCATAGATGACTATCTTGGAGTCTGGTCAGTAAAACTTCACAGGCTCTGAACATGTATTGTCTGCTGCCAATCATCCCGTTTGGATGTTAGTATAGACATATATAAAGAGCTCTGCTGGCATAGTGGTTAAATGCTTGGTTGCTAACCGAAGGTCGGCAGTTCGAACCCACCGGCGGCTCCATGGGAGAAAGATGTGGCAGTCTGCTTCCATAAAGATTGTTGTTGTGGTTAGGTGCCATCGAGTCAGTTCCAGCTCATAGCGGACCCTGTGTACAACAGAACAAAACACTGCACGGTCTTGTGCCGTCCTGACAATTTTTGTTATGCTTGAGCCCTTTGTTGCAGCCACTGTGTCAGTCCATCTCATTGAGGGTCTTCCTCTTTTTTGATGACTCTCTACTTTACCAACCATGATGTCCTTCTCCAGGGATTTATCCCTCCTGTTAACATGTCCAAAGTATGTGAGATGAACTCACCATCCTTGCTTCTAAGGAGCATTCTGGCTGTACTTCTAAGACAGATTTGTTCGTTTTTCTGGCAGTCTATGGTATATTCAGTATTCTTTGCCAATACCGCCATTCAAAGGCGTCAATTCTTCTTGGGTCTTCCTTGTTCATTGTCCAGCTTTCGCATGCGTATGAGATGATTGAAAACAGCATGGCTTGGGTCAGGCTCACCTTAGTCCTTGAAGTGACATGGTTTAAAGAGGTCTTCTGTAGCAGATTTGCCCATAAAGATTACAGCTTTGGAAACCCTGTGGGGCACTTCTGTTCTGTCCTATAGGATCACCACAAGTCGAAGTCATCTCGATGGCAGTGGGGTTTTTATATATATATATGTGTGTGTATACATATACACACACACATATATATATATATATATAAATGAGGGAAGGAGTCTAAGAATGGGGTTTATGTATATATGTATAAAACCCGTTGCCGTCGAGTCAATTCCAACTCATAGTGACCCTATGGGACAGAGTAGAACTGCCCCATAGGGGTTCCAAGGAGCGGCTGGTGGATTCGAACTGCCGACCTTTTGGTTAGCAGCCATAGCTCTTAACCACTGCACCACCAGGCCCCATATATATAAAACAAATTCTGACCTCCTGCTTTGCTGTAGCGTTCGTTTCCAGCAGCCTCCTATTGTATAGGGGCTTTGTGTTGATATCTTACTAAAACTGAAATCAGGAATGTCACCCAGTTTGCATTATTTTATTGCTAGGTAAATGTACTACCTATTATACATGTGGGAAATTTACTGTTTTAAATATAAATTGTCATGTAAGTTGTCATATTAACATTCTAAACCAGGCTTTATTTAACATTTAACTATTTGATTTACTTGTGTAATGGCATAAACTTTATAAAGAATTATAACCCCCTTCTTATCCAGTGTTGGGACATTATAACTCTGTAACATCTAATTATGTAGTAACTACTATGGAATTCTACGTTTTCAGTCCCAGTTAAATTTTCTTGAATTATCTTAAAAAGAGAACAATTCTGGTTCTTCTTCATAAGCATCACCATTAAGTTAAGGTGAACAGTGCAGAGAGCGCCTACAAAGGGGGACCTATTTGTGAGTGGTAGAGAGTGTATTTTTGCGTAAAACTGGATTAAAGTCTGATGAGCAGAATATATCTGGCGTGGATACTGTTCTGGAAAGAACACAGCCTGTCCCATCACTGATCTCATCAGTGTTTCAGTGTTCCCTGAAGACCTGGATGTCTCTCAAGAGAAACGAAATCACAGTCAGCATACTCTACCAAGATTTGTATGTTTATGTATTTGCTCCACAGGTGAACTCAAGATTAGTCTTAAACACTTTGAAGAAGCTTTTAAGAAAGTAAAACCATCTATATCAAAAAAGGTAAGAGATGCTGTTAAACGTATATAGAGAAAAAGACTAGAATTGAGAGTAGTAGATATGAACTCATGAATTGTGAAACTCATTTTTAGAGATTATATTTTATATACCATCCCTTCTTCCTGAAGTGGAAAGAAATTGCATGTTACACTTTGATCCAAAAACAAGGAAAACACTTGTGTTCATGAGAATATTCTTGGAAGATTTTAATTTTGTGGGTTTCTTAGAGACTGAAGCATAGCTCTCCTAACCAGAGTCTCTACTGACTACTTCAGAGAGAATGAATGACCTCTTGTATCTGCTTCTACAGTCTCAGAATTTTCAATCAGTTTCATTCAAGTATGAGTTAACCTACCCCACCCTTTTTAACAAATGGTTTCTTATCTTCTCAGAGCTAGACTGTACCCAGACTAAGCCCTAGAGACTTATCTATACATTTCAGGGAAATAAAAGTATCTTCACTATTGGGTAGGAGAAGAATTTTAAAAATCACTGTGGTTTTTCCTTACATAAAATGTTAAGTTTTACATATTTATTTCTGACTGTGCTGAGTTATCATGTTTGTAATAAATTAAAATGGTTGCTGTTAAATGAAGTCAATTTATTGTGACACAGAGAGGGTTGGCAGGTAAAAGCTAACCCAAACAAAGGTCTTGAATTGGATACTGTTGTCTAAGCTTTGTGCATTTGGGTTTCTTAATGTTTTCAAGGGAGTTCCTGGTGTGTCTTCACTTTGTAATAGTTGTGACCTTTAAAGATACACACCTGAGTCCCTGGGTTGTGTAAATGGTTAACACGCTCAGCTGCTAACAGAAAGGTTGGAGGTGAGTCCACCCAGAGATGCCTTGGAAAAAAGCCCTGGCAATCTACTTCTGAAAAATCAACCATTGAAAGCCCTATGCAGCATACTCTACTCTGACACACCTGGGGTCACCATGAGTTGGAATCCACTCAGTGGCAACTGGTTTTTTGTTTCCAGACTCTTGGAAGTTTAATATGCCTTAGTCATGAGAACTTGTTTATTGATTATACTAAAACTTCCTTTAAATAATTAGCCATTTATGACACCCAGAACTGCATTTCTTCTTCTTATGTTTATTGATTGAAAACTGAGTGTCAGTCTGTTTCTAAGTCCAGAACAGTTGCATGTAATGGGTTGCCATGTTGCATTGCCGCAGGTCTTGGCCTAGAGGTTCTAAGGTAGTCGACCACCCTGTCACTCTAACTAAATAACCAGCTAAGGGATTTGGGCTGGTGGTGGTATGTTTTAGGCATGTGACTGACGGCTTTTTCAGCTAGAGTAAAGTAAAAGTCTGCTGAGCCTGGAAGAAGTCTTTTAGCATTGAATAGAGGAAGAAACAGCCTGCCTTGACCTCTCAGTCATTGTTGTATGCCAGAAAAAATGTTTTACTTTATTGAACATCTTTGAATAAAATAAAGTCTTGTTTAAAATCAGATACTGTTTTGTAGTTAATATTATTGGCCCTTTTTATTCTAAATCAGCAATACCTAGTGATAAAATGTCTTGCCAAAGATTTAGTAATTTAAAAAACTTTTTAATTGAAATTATTTCTTACCTACAGCCTGAGTTTTGAAGTTTTTGAAGTGCATAGCTCCACATTTGCCACTCACGTCTGCTAACCTTGCTTTTTTAAAATCTAAATTTAACTTACATACAATAATGCACACATCTTGAGCTTTTACAAATGTAACCATCACCTCAATCAAGGTATATAGAACATTCATCCCTCCACAAGGTTCCCTTGTGTTCCTTTATAGTAAGTCCCTTGCCAGACACCGCTCCAGGCAACCACTGATCTGATTTCTGTCATCATACTCTAATTTTACCTGTTTTAGAGCTTGTATAGATGCAATAATATGTATCCTTTTGTCTCTGGCTTCTTTTGCCCGGCATAATGTTTTTGAGATTCGCCCATGTTGTTTTATTTATCAGTCCTTTGATCCTTTCTCTTGCTGAGTAGCATTCCGTTGTATGAGTATACCACAGTTTGCTTATCCATTCACCTGTTGATGGACGCTTGGGTTGTTTCTAGTTTTTGGCTTTTGTGAATAAAGCTGCTCTGAACGTTTTCGTGCATATGTACATACATTTGTGTGAACATGTGTTTTTATTTCTCTTGAGTAAATATCTAGGAGAGGAATTGCTGGGTCATATATTTTTAACTGTATAGGAAACTGCCAAGCTGTTTTCCAAAGTGGTTGTATCATTTCATGAGCGTTCTGGTTGCTCCACTTCCTCACCAATTCTGAGTATTGTCAGTCTTTAATTTTAGCCATTCTAGTGAATGTCTAATAGTATTGCATTGTGGTTTAAGTTTGTTATTTCTCTGATGACTAAAATTTTGAGCATATTTCCATATGCTTATTGGTCATTTGGATATCTCTTATGTCTGCTTCTTTTTCCCTTTAAAAAAAATTGAATTGCTTGTCTTATTGTTGACTTGTACTGATTCTTAGTATATCCTGAATACAAGTCTTGTATCAGATATATATATTAAGGATATTTTCTCCAAATCTGTTGTTTCCCTTTTTCTTTTTTTTTTTTTTTTAAATATTTTACTGTGTTTTAGGTGAAAGTTTGCACAGCAAATTAGATACCCATTCAGTTCATACACAAATTGTTTTGTGACATTGGTTACGATCCTCATGATGTGTCAGTACTCTCACCATTTCCACCCCACCTGCCCTGTTTTCATCCGTCCAGTTTCCCTGCCCCTCCTTGCCTTCTCATCTCTGCTTTTGTGTAAATGTTGACCATTTGGTCTTGTATAGTTGATTGTTTAAAGGAGCACATTCCTCATGAGTATAATTGTTTATTTTATAGGCCAGTCTGTTATTTGGCTAAAAGGTGACCTCTTGGAGTGGCTTCAGTTCTAGGTTAAAAGGGTATCTGAGGGCAGTTGTCTTAAGGATTCCTGTAGTCTCTGTCAGTCCAGTACATCTGGTGTTTTTTATGAATTTGAGTTTTGTTCTACACTTTTCTCCCATTCTAACTGGGGCCTTCTATTGTGCTCCTGGTCAGAGCAGTCGGTAATGGTAGCTGGGCACCATCTAGTTCTTAGGGTCTCAGGCAAGAAGAGGCTATGGTTCACATGGGCTGTTAGACCTGTGGACTAATTTTCTTCCTTCAGTCTTTGGTTTCCTCCACTCTCCTTTTTACCTTTTTATTTTCTAAAGGCATCTTTTGAAGAATAAGAATTTTTAATTTACATAACATTTACTTTATCTTTTTTTATAGTTTGTATGTTTTTATATCTTAAGAAATCTAATCAACCCCAAGTTTGCATAAATTTTAGCCTTTTTTTTTTTTCTAGAAATTTTATAGTTTTAGCCTTTACGTTTAAGTCTATGAACCATTTGAAACTAATTTCAGTATTTGATGTGAGGTGTAGGGTTCATGGTTACTTTTCTTGAAGTAGCTATTTATTGTAGATTTATAGTAAGTCTTGAAATCTGGTAGTGTAAGTCTTCCTACTTTGTTAATTTTTTTTTGCCCCCAAAATTATATTGTTTTAAGCTCTTTGCATTTAACATACAAAATTTATAATCAGCTTATGGGTTTCTATAAAAAAGCCTACTAGAATTTTGAATGGGATTGCCTTGAATCTATAGATCATTTGGGAGAGCAGACATCTTAAAAATATTGAGTCTTCCAATCCACGAACATGGTATATCTCTCCATTTATTTAGGTTCATTTAATTTTTATGTCTAAGTTTATTCATTTATTTAAATTCATTTAATTTATTAGATACATTTGATTTTTCTCAGCAGTATTTCCAGGGTACAAGTCTTGTACGTCTTTAATTAAATTTATTTCTAAGTAAGTTACGATTTTCGATGTTTGTAAATGATATTTTTTAAAGTTTTATTTTCTAATTGTCGCTAGCATATAGTTTAATTGATTTTTATATGTTGACCTTGGCCAGCTCCTCACTTGTCACTCTCTTATTTTCTTTACCTCTAGAAAGATCACTTCCATTTTCTAGAAACTTGTTTGAAAAGCTTCCATGTTTATTGCATAAGTCATAACAGATGACTACAGATGTGTCATGCAAAGTTTGAAAATTGCTTAACCTCATTCCGAAATTTGGCCATGTTTTCATCCTTGCAGTAGGCCCTAAAATGTGTCACTTCACAGGCCTATGAAGTGTGACTTACTTTACTAGTCTGGTTTTTCAATATTAACTGCTCACCGGAGACCTAAGGCTAGCTTAGCTATTGGTAAATACTGAGGTTAATTTCCCTAGATATGTAGTCTCAAATAATCAGTCTTTTCAGCTCTGCCTACTGTGGCACTGTTCTACTGTCACAAAGAAAACATAAATTAAAATTCTTTTTTCTTTATTAAAGCCGCGCCATAGAAGCTCTTCCGTTTTACTAAATCATTAGTTTAGTGCTATCACACGCACTGGCCGCGGAGCCCTGGTGGCGCAGTGGTTAAGAGCTACGTCTGCAGTTCGAATCTACCAGTTTGAATCCACCAGCCACTCCTTGGAAACCTTATGGGACTGTTCTACTCTGTCCTGTAGGGTAGCTATAAGTCAGAATTGACTCGACGGCACGGGTTTTTTTTTTCTTTTTTTTTTTTTATCACACCCACTGACCATAAGCACTTTGATCCTCTTCTTAATACTCATGGTTAATATGATCCATCCATTTGCCTGATTTTTTTTCACATTTACATTTATGAGAGAAAAACTTCCCAAGTCAGCGTCCCCCCTAAGGCTGTCTCATACACTGTGGTGACGCTGCGCGGTGTGCTCAGCCCCTTCGGGTGGCGGTTTGGTGTGTCTGCCAGAGTTACAGTTACAACCATAGTTGACCCAGCAACTCTTCTCTGTGAATTTATCCTCAAATATGCATGTCAGTAGAAAGTTATTTATTCATTGGAACGTTGTGTATAATAATAAGTAAAGATTGAAAACACTCTGAATTAAATGGTCGTGTAAGTAATTATGATACAACTATTCTAAAAAGATTAAAGACTATATCTCCTAAATATATTGTTAAATAAAAAAAAACAGGAACTATGCGTATGATATGCCACCAGTAGTGTAGAAAAAAGAGGAAGAGATAATATTAGTATTTGCTGTATATGAAGAAGGAAAATCTGGAAGTATACATTGGTAACCTGGGGGGGACAGAATGGGAGAGAGACTCTTTATAACTATATTTTTGAGCCTTGTGAACATTTTACCTATCCAAAAGAATAACAAAATCAGATTAAAAAAAAAAAAAGTTTTAAAGGTCCAAAAAAACAAAAGCATGCAGCAAGTATTTCTTCGGGATAAATTTATAGGAATGGAACTGCATCCAAACTTTAAATGTTAATATTACCACAGCAGGATTCTGCTGTACACTAGGATGGCTAAAATTTAAAAGACTGACAACACCAAATGTTGATATGGATGTGAAGCAACTAGAACTCTCATACATTGTTGGTGAGAATAGTTAAACCACTTGGGAAAGCCTTTTGGCAATTTCTTATACATGTTAATCTACTGTAAGAGACCTCTACTTTTGCCTCCTCTTCCCCTCTGGACTCAGTATACTTTATAATTTTGTTTTTGTCACTAATACAGATATAGATGTAAGAATCTTTCTGATTTTTAAGGGAAACATAGTCAATAATTATGAGAGTCATTCATTCGAGGTGGACAGGAGTGTCTGTGGGATTTGGTTGCAGGGAGGAGCGGTCAGCTCTCTTTAACAGTGCTCAGTGCTGTATTCTGTTTCCTGCTCTTCTCTCAGGATCAAGTGATGTATGAAGCTCTGCAGCAGTCTCTCCGCTGATGACGTCTCCAACGCATCGTGCTGGTGGAGGAGCCAGCACACTCAGGTTCCAGCTTGCAGCATAGCACAGATGTGATTTCATGGAGGCATTTTATTTTCAAGTTAGTGAGACCAAGCTCAAACTGAAGATTCTTCCTGTCTGGCCAGCCTTGCATGGAAACACCCTACCTCCTTTTTAAGAAAAAGAAAAATTCAGCAACTGCTGAAATAAAATAACTGAAAGTTTTTCTAAATAAAATTTTTATTTTGAAACATTTTCAGCTGTACAGAGAAGTTGCACGTACATTACAAAGTGCTGTTTTTCCTGAACCATCTGAGTAAGTTGACAGCCTGTTGCTCCATCACCCCCAAACACTTAAATGTGCATTTCCTACAGACCAGGCTGTTCTCCTACATGGCCAACTGTCAAAAAGCAAGAGATTAACATTGCTGTATTGCTACCACCTAGTACTCGGGCTCCAGTCAAGTTTCTCCAGTTGTCCCAAGAATGTAGCAAAAAAACCCAGTTTAGAATTAGCAGTTGTAGTTAGGTGCTGTGTCTCTTTAGTCTTTTTAGAGTCTGGAAAAGCTCCTCAGCCTCCACTTCCATAATCTTGGCACCTTTGAAGGTTCCAGGCCAGGTACTTTGTAGAATGCCCACAGGGTGGATTCATCTGGTGCTTCCTCACGATTCGACTCCAGTTACGTGCTGCTGGCAGGAGTGTGTCTTCTCGCTGCATCCTGTCAGGTGGCCCCGTTGCTGAAAATGCTCACTTTGGTCACTTGATTACGGTGGTCACTTGATTCCAGGCTGCTCATGCAAGACAGTTGCTCTTTCCCTTTGTACTTCATACGTGTTTTGTGAGGGGGTGTTAAGCTCAGGTCCATTACTGTCACTGTTTGGTATTCAGATTGTCTCAGATTTGGCCAGTGGGAGCCCTTTCAAGCTGGCCTCTGTGTCCCTGCAGTGCAGCTCACCTGATAGGTGAGGTTACTTTTAAGAATACAGTTGATAAAATGGAGAAAATATGAATAGGTGAAAGCAGATTAGGTGACAAAGGTCAATCAGACACATTCAGAGAAGAGTGCAGATGACTGACTACCCAGAGTATCGCACTACCAGTGAAGGGGCCTGAAGAGAGGGCTCCAGGGCCCAGAGGAAGGAGCACTTGCACAGAGAACACCAAGTCAGGATCACGTGAGAGAGATGGTTAAGAATGAAGGGAAACCAGAAGTGCGGGCGGAATGTCCTGCGCCGTCATTCATTGTATTGTTTGGAAACGGATTATAGCGATGGTTGCACAACACTGTGAGTATAATTAATGCCACTGAAGTGTACACTTAGAAATGGCTGAGATGGAGCAACACCTGCCCGAAAGCAAAGAGAAGGCAGACAGGGACAGGAAAACTGGACGAATGGACACGGAGAACCCAGAGTAGAAAGGGAAAGGGGGAGAGTGCTGACATGCGAGGATTGCAACCAATGTCACAAAACAATTTGTGTATAAATTTGTAAATGAAAAACTAATTTTGTAAACTTCCACGTAAAACACAGTAAAATTTTTAAAAAATGGTTAAGATGGCAAATTTTACACTACATATACTTGACTATAGTAAAAAAAAAAAAAGTAAACAAAACAATAACAACAACAACAAATGTGAGTTGTAGATTTGACTCTGTTTGATATTAGCCAAGTCAGAGGAGAAACAATCAGGTACATTATATATTTAGGTTACGAGAAAACGCAAAAGTTTTTGACAGTTGAATGTTAGGTCTAAATACCCAACTTTATGGTGGTCTAGCTTGGCCTAGACATTAACCATACAAGGCGTGGAGATGAGACAGGCTGCGTGTGTTGTCAGCTTAGCAAATTTACCGTGGTACAGGTTGCCAGCAGACAGTTACTGGACAGAAATCTGACCAACTGATGTTAGAATCGACTCAACAGCAACCTTTTTTTATTTTTTAATGTCACAGTGGATATTGCTAGCTGTTCGCCAAAGGGAAGGAAGGAAAACATTTTCTAAGTACAATGTATGTACTAAGTACTGTCGTATATTCTTTTTAGCCCTCCCAACTCATTCTGTGGAGCAGATGACATTATCCCTATCTTATTAAAAAAAAGTTCAGAGCTTGCCCAGGGTCACCAGCTAATAAAGAGCTGTCTGAACTCTGAAAACGAGTCAGTCCTATGTCCAGACACAGCTGGAATTACGTCCTCTGTGGTGGCATTGTGAAAGATTCAGCAATTTCATCAAATACTTTGCGCTGATCACTGGTGATGGAATGGCCTCGTTTGGTATGCGTGACAGCTAATTGTCCCACAATATCCATTTTCCCCTTTTCTTTTAGTAATAAAATACATAAAGTGTTAGCTGGACACGTGGCTACCCAGCTGGATGCTACCTTTCTCCGCCTCTTGCTGCTTGGAGGTGTGACTGAGTTCTGGCTCATGTAATAGGAACAGAAGTGGTGGGAGCAGCTTGAGTCACATCCTTAAAAGGAAGCTACTTGGACTGCATAACCGTCATTAACCAGGCAGTCTGTTGAACTCATGCATTTAGTCCATGAGCGAAGACTAAATATGTCCTCAAAAGCCACAACTTGTTTAAAATAAAGAAGTAGCTGCTTGCTCTCTCAACTCCACTTTTCCCTTCCCAGGGCTAGAATCTGATAAAGTGACGATGAACCAGCTTAGACCACGTAAATGGGGACAACATCTTGGGACAGCAGAGCAGCAGAACCTCCTTACCCCTCGGACTGTCAACTGGCTTGGACTTTGTGTGCGACTTTTTATCTTGCTTAAGCCCTTTATATTTTGGTCTCTCCTAAAGCAGCCAAACTAATATCCTCACTCATACAGCATTCAGACTAGTAAAGAGACAATTACAAAAGTGTGGGAAGGGCTGTGAAGAGACAAGAATCGATGCTGTAAAGCAGCAGCAGAAGAGAGACAACTGGTCCGTGCTTGGGTTCAGGGAAAGTTCTCCAGAGAAGGGGATGTTTCCGCTGAGTCCTGAAGGCTGAGAAGAAAATGAGAGTAAACGATCTGAGCAGAGAAAACAGACATGAGATGAAAGGAAGGGACTGGTGTGTTTGGGAACCGAGAACAGGCGGCCTCTTAACTTTTGTACATAGGTTATTGCTGAAAATGGGTGAAAGTAGTATTCACAGGATAATCTTCCAAAAACTGAACCCATCACGTTTTAGAGACAGTCTTCAGTCATTGATAGGTATCTCTTACTATTCAAACTCTTGCTGTCCCAACTCAGGAACTGGATAGATTCAGATACATTTGTAGGATAAATCCTTCCCCATTCAAATTTGAGGAGCCCTGGTGCCACAGTAGTTAAAGCAATTGGCAGCTAACCAAAAAGGTCGGCAGTTTGAAACCACCTATGGCTCCGTGGGAGAAAGATGTGGCAGTCTGCTTCCATAGAGATTTACAGCCTTGGAAACCCTCAGGGGTTGCTATGAGTCTGAATCGACTCGATGGCAGTGGGTTTGGTTTTTTTGTATTCAAAATTTATACTACTCACAAGCCAAAGCTAAGAAGCTAAACAGATTTGGGATAAGGTGGTCTCTGCTGGAATCGGCTCAAAAGCAACTAACAACAACACTTATTAGTGTCAGCATTTGCTTTTTCATTTTCAATGTGTTTTTTACAAAATAATCACAAACAGAAATATTCAGCTAAGTATGCAGACATTGCCATTGTCTGACCACTGCCTTCGGTCTTCTGCTAAATTCCGTGAGGGCAGGCACCCTGTCAGTCTTGTTTCCTCAGCAGCCAGGTGGGGGGCATTTAATATTGTGTTAGATGAATTAACTGTTTTTAGACAACAAAGCTGTCAAAATTAGACTGCTGTCTGGCAGGCAGTCCCTGCATGTGAGAATCTGAAATGTTCGTTTACCAGGAATAGAAGTCTGATTCTGTTATATGAAAAATGACAAAAGGGACTTGTGAATAGCCTATCACCCAGCGATTCCACTCCTACTCTGTGTTCAACAGAAATGCATACGTGTGTTTACCAAGACAGCAGCACAATCATAACACCAAAACTGGAGACAGTCCAAACATCCGTCAAGGGTAGAACGGATCACTGTGGTAATTTCATACACTGGAATGCTACCGTAACCAATGGACTATTTGCAACAACGCAGGTGACTCTCAGATCCTGAAAGAAGCCAGTCCAAGATCAGACTATGATTCTACTTCATGTATAAAGATCAAAAAGGCAAAGCTAACCTATGCCACGAGAAGCCAGTTAGTAGTTACTTTTGGAGGAGAAGTGAGGAAGGGAGCATGGCATGGCCGGCTCTGGGCTGCTGGTCCTGCTCTGCATCTAGGTGATGGTTAGTGTGTTTTCTTAGTGAAGATTCATCATGCCTTATGATTATTGTGCTCTTTTTCTGTAAGTATGTGTGTTACACTTCCATTAAAAAGTAAAAAACTTGAGAGGTCAAAAATTTTACCTATAACTCGTGATTCTTCATCTGATATTGACAAGTACTATACATAAACATTTTGAAAGTAACAAAATGATAGGGGCAGCAAAGTTGAAAATGTGGGTTGCTTAAAGAACCCCATATAGTTGAGTGCGCCGGGAGAATAAGTCACCTACCCGTCCCTACCTTTTTTTTTTTTAACCTAGAACACCAGGTGCTCAACCCATCCGGTCCCCCTGTCTGGTCAGTGCTGAGATAATGAGGCTGGAGAGTGTGAGCAGGGGCTGAATTTCATTGATTATCCCACCACTAAGACAGCCCTAAGGAGCCCTAGTAGCCAAACGGTTAAGCACTTATCTGCTAACCGAAAGGTTGGCCGTTTGAACCCACCCAGCGGCTCCATGGGAAAAAAACACGAATTCCTGTAAAGGTTAAACCTGAAAAACCAAATGCGTTGCCGTCGAGTCGATTCTTACTCCTAGTTACCCTATAGGACAGAGTAGAACTGCCCCACAGGGTTTACAAGGAGAAGCTAGTGGATTCAAACTGTTGACCTTCTGGTTAGTAGCCATAGCTATTAACCACTATACTGTCAGGGCTCCCCTGTAAAGATTACAGCCCAGGAGATCCTATAGGGCAGTTCTACTTCGTCACATGGGGTCGCTATGAGTCAGATTGACTCGACGGCACCCAACAGCAATAACAACAAGGCAGCCCTGGTGGCTCAAACTGTTTGCACTTAACTATTAACCTAAAGGTTAGCTGTTTGAACCCACCCAGCAACTCCATGGAAGAAGGGCCTGGTGATCTGCTTCCGTAAAGATTACAGCCAAGAAAATGTTATAGAGGAATTCTACTCTGTAACACATGGAGTCACCATGAGTCAAAATCAACTCGATGGCAACAGTTTTGGCTTGGTTTAACACCACTCTCTACTCCTGGGAGAACTATATTTTCAAGCATGAGCTTCAAGGATTCATGCAGCCAGCAAGGTGATTTGGATAAATTTTGCCTTCTGGAATTTTTTCTTACATAACATGTTGACAATATGCAGTCTGGTTCCACTGCCAAGTAAACTTAGCCTTAAGGAGAGGAGGGAGAGACACTGCAGATGTTCCAAAGAACTCTTTATTAGATATGGAGGTAAAAAGTACACATTACATCACAGCCTAGGACATTCTGTCTTCCAAGACCAAAGGAAGTCTCAAGGTGGAAAAACTCAAATGGAATTCATTAACTTCCCTTCCAGCTCTCTCTTCACACCTGCTTTTCCTCCCATGTTCCTCATCACCCAAGCTAGAAATCTTGACATCATCTTCAGTTCTCCCCTGAGCTTCCCCTTCTACTTGGTCATCAGTTATTCTTCAGCAATGCTTCTGAAATCTCTTCTTTCCTTTGGTCTCAGAGCTTCTCGCCTGGTTCAGGCTGTCATCATCTTTCATAGCTATTACAATAGCCTCCAGATAAATCTACCTTCCAGTCTCTCCATCCCAAGCTCTTGTACATTGTGAAACCAAACTTTTTGCAAAATACTGATTAAGTATGCCACTCTTCTGCTTAATGTCCTTCAGTCATCTAAACTCATTAGTCTAATTACACACAGGCCTTTGTAACCTGACATCAACCTACCTTTGACACCGGGCCCTCCCCCCCACCCTACCTGGATTTATTACCATTACAGTAAAATCCTTTGTTCTTCCACATCTCTGAGCCTTTGCCCTCGGTGTACCCGTACCCACTACGTGGAATGCTTCCTCTAGGCCACCCAAACCCAAGGCAGACTTTAGGACTCTATCATTGCCTGAGAAGCTTTGCCCAGCCCTTCCCTCTGCTTCCTGCTCAAACTACTTTTTGTGCCAACCTGGACTGCGCTTATGTTGATCAGTTGTCAAGTAGGCTGGGATTCTCAGTGGCAAGGTCTCATTCATTTTTGCATCTATAGCACTTGACACATCGTAAGAATGAAGTAACTTTTTATTGAACAATTGAGTCACTTTATTCTATGGCACAAAGCACAATTAACATTGAAGAGATTTGATGGTATTATCGTGTTTCTACGCCAGGCATCTACCAAAGGCCTTGGGAGCTCGGCTTCTTCTGGTATTGAGTTACTGATCAGAAGCCACGTTAGCGATAGTTCTGCCTAGCTGAAAAGCCCCTGAGCCCTGAGTACGGTCAAGGCATTCAAAAGAAACTGTTTCTAAGAGCCTGGTTTTCCTGACCGTTTTCTAAAACAGAAAGCTTTAAAGAGGAGATTACGTGTATTTATTACAACCTAAATTCTAATTACCTTCTTTTCCCGAAACAGGAAAACCTGCTCTCCCACTCTGGCACATCAGAGCCTGGTAAGCAGACAATGGGTCTTCTTTTTCAGAGTCCAGGAAGTTTTGCTAGCTTTAACTTTCTCAGAATTAATGTTGAAGAAAGCTAAATGGTTCACAGTGACCAAGGACTTTAGAAGTAGAGCTATACTGTGAGGGAAATAACGTATTTTTACACAAATTACGTGCGCATTATACATTTTTTGGCCAACTGTGCAACCTCCTCACGTATTATTTTCCTGTGTGCCTTATATGTGTGTGGGCATGATATTTGTGTGGGCATGTTATTTTTGAAAAAATACGGCAGTTCAGGAGCGAAAGAAATGCCATTTCACAACGTACAAGGAAATCAGTTTTTCAAATGAAAAAGTGCTATTTGAAAAAGCGATCAAAAGCAAATTAATTAATTCAACAAATATTTTTCGAGTACCTACCTCATGCCTAATTTTTAAAGAATTGCCTCCTTTGTTATTCTCAGCGCACTAAAAACTTGAATAACAGATTGTCAAATCCTTTATAGCCAGCCTCAGATTATAGTCTGATTTAGATTCATTGTTGAAAATGAAGTCATTTGTGCCCACATTAATTTGACACCTTGCGTGGTACACGTTTGGAACATCTTGGAAGGCCTTGTCCTTCTTGCCTGGTGGGGTGCCATGGTGAAGAAAAGGTAGGTGGACTTAGAAACATTATCATTAGTACATCAAAACTGAGACAGGTGATATCTTCATTTTATATTTGAGGGAACTGAGGCTCAGAGAGGTTAAGCAACTTGCTCTTTGTCACACAGCTAAATAAGTACTACCTGAGAATTCAAACCTGAGCCTATCTGATTCCAAAGGCTTTATCCTTCTCCTATACTCTACAGGCTTCTTTGGCAGGAAGTTGAGTTCAATGTCATGTCTCCTGGGGAGCTTCGTGAGTGTTCTGCTTTCATTATTGTGACTCATAATAATAATGATTGTTTAAAAATAATGGATGATAATTTGTTTTCTTTGAACTCAAGCCAAATAGTATCAGAAACCTCTATACATTAGCCACTCAGTAACGCTGAAGTTGTGCAAAACAGACAAGCTTTTAGATGGCTATCAGGGTCTTTCTGAAGGGTTCATTGTTGATCAAGCTCTATAACCACAGAGGTAAAAACAATGAGAACCGTGAGGATACAGCTGACCGTGTGATTTAACTATTTATTGTGGAAATTTTCAAATATATATAAAAGAGAATAGTATTTGGATAAACCATATGAAGTTGTCATTTTTTGTAAGTCAAAAAAGATAAATAGGAATGTCAGATGTTTCAATCAAATGCAGTGATTCCCCATGTACACTTCACCCAGCTTCAGCAGTTACCAACTCAGGGCCAATCTTGTTTCATCTGTTCCTTCCCTTGCTGCTCCCCACCCTGAATTATTTTGAAGCAAATCTCAGAGAACATATCACTTAATCCCTAAGTATTTTAAATACGTGATTTTTAAATGGAGAGTATGGTGGCAGAGAAACAGCTACCCTATTGTCCAGATTCAGGACTGAAAGAAGAAGATGGGCAAATGTTTAACCCTAGGAACATTAAGGAATCCTCCCATCGATCCTTAGCATAATCAGAAGCCAGGGCTTACATTGTATTTTTAAAATCCTATTGGGTTCGAGAGAACAATGGATATTGCTTTCACAAGACTAAATTTCAGGGGCTCGGAGGTTACCCAGGAACATTGTCATTTGAATCTTAGTTTGCAAAATATTACCTGCAGTTTACTTTTTCGTTCTCAGAACAATTGAATCTTCATGCTACAAAAGGCCTTCATCTGTCAGTGTTTCTCAATCCTGATGACACAAGAATCCACTGAGGGTTGGCAAAAATATACTACCTGGACCCCACCACAGGCCAATTGAATCAGAGTCTCAGGGTGGAGCTGGGCGGCTGTGGTTAAGTCACCCAGATAGGTCTGATGTCCCATAGGGTGGAGAACTCCAGAAGCCCCACCCTTCACAGTCTGAAGATGAGGAACCCAGGGCTGGGTAAGTGAACCGCCCAGGAGCACACACAAGTGCCACCCACGCTTTTACTGAGAACACAACGTCTCACCCAGGTTCAAGATGGGGGAGAGTGATGACTTGGGCTCAATTTGAGGATGCTTTTGCTTTGGTTACTCCCAAAGCAGTCCATGAGCAGCGCCAGGGGTGGAAACCAGGCATGCAGCCACAGTGCCGTGTCCTGTCAGCACGGGGACAGTGAGCACTGCTGGGCAGAGTGCTCTATGTGTTTCCATAATGCTCTCAAATCCCATCAGACATAAGCCACTATTATGCATTCAAAACACATGTGTATAATCACTCATAATAAGAATTTAGAAATAGAAATATGTCTAGCTTTGTGAGGTCTCTAATATTAACTATAAATCATTAGAGAACCGTAAGTCATAAAAAAGTTATTTAGAAAATTTTCTGAGCTTAGACAACAAAGATGCATGTGAAGTAGGTAAAGAACATAAACAACCTTTAAGTTCACTTTGACCCAGCATGCTGTGACACGAGAAAACATACAAAAATCTGAATAACCTCCCCAATTTCTAACCTTGAAGAGAAGACGCATCATTTGGCTACTCTCTAACCCTGGAGAAAAGACAGAACATACTAGACTTTGATTTCACACTGGACCTTGTCATGTGGAGCCAAGGTGACAAAT